GGGGTGGGTCCCTGCACGTGGTTAAGGCCTAATGGCTCAGTGTACGATGTTCTCCAGTCTCAGGTCAGAGGAGGAGGAAGCGCAGCCTTTGGGAGCCCCGGAGGAGGAGGTGGCTGATGGCCGAGATGTCTCCCAGCATTGCCTCTGGGTAGATAAATTCGCTCCCCAGCACTATACGGAGCTGCTCAGTGATGATGTGAGACCTTGTTTTTGCTCAAGTGTGACTGGTTTCTTTGTTACTGAAAAGAAAAACTCAGGGTTTAGCACATCTTTGTGTTGCCAGTCCATGGAGGTGTCAGGATTTAGGGGAGGGCTTTGGTCAGCCTTGTTGAATTGTAGATGGGAAATTGAGGCCAGTACGGGGACAGAGTGTTGCTGGTCACTTATGTTTTATGTTTCTCACAGTAGCTGATGCTGAGATGCTCTTGGAGATAGTGGGCAGGGGTCCTGGAGGGGTCAAAGCCTGGGCTGTGGGGAAGGTGGCCTTGGTGTGAGCCTGACTCTGTCGCTCACCAGCAGTGTGACCAGGCATCACTCTCTTGTCACTCAGTGTCCCTGTGTGTGTCTTTGATCTTGTAAGGGCAAGTTGATGTGAGAGGCAGGCAAGAGGAGTCCTTGGTGCTGGTGTCTCCTCCAGGCCAGGCCTCTCTTCCCACAGTTCACTAACCGCTGCCTCCTCAAGTGGCTAAAGCTGTGGGATCTGGTGGTGTTTGGCCGAGAGAGGCCTGCCCGGAAACCCAGGCCCAGTGTGGAGTTGGCCCGTGGAGGCAAAGAGACTATGGCCTCCAGCAAGTGGAAGAGCCATGAGCAGGTGCTAGAGGAGATGCTAGAGGCCGAGCTGGACCCAAGCCGGCGGCCCCGACAGAAGGTGAGCAACACCTGACTGTGCTGCACAGGCCTCTGAGCCCAGGGTCTGGACTCTGGGGACCATTTACTGCTCTTTTGGTTGTGGGTTTATGTCAGGGTCTTGGCGTGGAGAGCCAGCTCCACCCCAAGGGAGTTGAGCTGGGGCTTGAGTACTTTGTCCTAATGACTTAGGTGAAGTCAGCTCTCCTTGAAGGACCTTAACATCCCCCCACAGTGATCACGGTGGGACTGTGGGTGGTTTCTAGACGTCAGTCATGTCAGTAATGGCTATGTCTGTCAGATCCCCTCCTTACTTCTTGCTCTGTGCCACGAGCAGTCTGGGGCTTGTTCTTCTTTGGTGACTGGGGTGGCACAGGGGGACGTCTCTCAGCACCAAGCTTCATGGAACAGACAGGATTTTCACTCTCTGGCAGTTGGGCTGGGGGCTCTCAGAGTCCTCAAGGTGGTGAGGTTTGCAGCACGTTTTCTTCTGCCTCGACTGCAGGTGGCGCTGCTGTGTGGGCCCCCAGGGCTGGGCAAGACCACTCTGGCCCATGTGATTGCACGGCACGCTGGGTACTCCGTGGTGGAAATGAATGCGAGGTGAGTGGAGGGAAAGGCTGGGCCTCCTGTCTGCCCTGACATGTCTGGTCGAGTCTGGGGGACAGCCCTGAAAGCCTGGATTGAAGGTGGAGCTGGGGTCCAGGGTCCAGGGGCAGTGGAACTTGTCCATTCTTAGGGCTCACTGGGATTTGGAATTTGACCACAGTGTCATGGGGTAGCCTCGTGTAGTACCCTTGAGGTGTAGGCATGGTGGCTCTGCCTTGGGAGATCATCCTGCCAGGGAAACTGGCTGTCACCCTGGCTGAGGCCACGGCTGTCCTGACAGCCTTTTCCTGGCCTTATGGTTCCAGTGACGACCGCAGCCCTGAGGCCTTTCGCACGCGCATTGAAGCGGCTACGCAGATGGAATCAGTGCTGGGCACTGGTGGGAAGCCCAACTGTCTGGTCATCGATGAGATCGACGGGGCCCCCACGGTGGGCCTCCTGGGTGTGTGGTGGGTGGGCTGGCAGGTGGGCCATGGGGGCTGTGGCTTACCACACTGTCTGCATGTTCTTTCAGGCTGCCATCAATGTTCTCCTGAGCATCCTGGACCGTAAGGGCCCACAGGAGGCAGAGCCAAGGGGCCCAGCCATGCCCATGGGTGGGGGGCGGCGGCGCCGGGCAGAGGAGGGGCTCCTGATGAGGCCCATTATCTGCATCTGCAATGACCAGTGAGTGGGGCAGGGCGGGGTCTCCCCTGGGCAGGTGTGCCCCCACCTGGCCCCTGATCCTTTACCTACTGGGCTGTTGCCTGCTCCCTGGTGCCCAGGCCAGGCAGATAACTCTTTGGACACTGATCATCCCCCTAGGTTTGCACCCTCCTTGCGGCAGCTGAAGCAGCAGGCTCTTCTGCTCCACTTTCCACCCACTTTGCCCGCCAGGCTCACACAGCGGCTCCATGAGGTCTGTGGAGGCTGCCCTCCCCTCTGCCATCAGGCTCCCCAGCCCCCCAGCTGGGCCCAGGACGTGGGGTGGAGGAGACTG